TTAAATATCTATTATCTGTGAGAAATAAGAGGCTCTTGGGTTGTTTTTGTATTCGAAAGAGACTCGTTGTGAGTGCAAAGGACATAATGGGAATGTTCTTAGATGTCAGGTAAATTCTTGTGAGGCATTAGACCGTCATCTAGTTGAATTCATTAAAACCAGAATGTGCACACAAAGAAAAGTGCAAAAATAATTTAAAAAAGAAAATTTTCTTGATTGTGCGTTCTCCCCAAACCCGAATGCTCGGTGTTAGAATGCTATGTTTAAAGCAGCATTGCAATGCGTTAAAATTAAGGCAATCTTAAATTAATATACTTCTATTTATGGTGAAATATTTATCTAGTTCGATTATTCAGAATATCGTATTACAACATTTTCCAGCTTGGAAATTCAGACCAAGATACAATAGTCTATTATCCGGCTGTAACACTTTTCTGTGTATAATGCTAAGGTACGATGACCAAACTAAGTGATAGTAAATAGCAAATCAGGAGAAAAATCAACTGGAAAGAGCAGGTGTATGGGAAGGCTGCTAAGACAGCCAAGCTATAGCTAAAATAAGGAATAAATTTTGATCGAAGCCTGGTTGAGGTCGGAAGAGAGCATGTTTATACCCTTATAAGCCCTTTCATGTGGATGAGAGCATCAATTTTACAGAGAAAAACGAAAAGATGAGCTTAATACTGTGGGGTGGATCAAATAACTCACCCCTGGGTATGATGATATCAGCCTGAGCCATTGAAGGTGCAATGAATTGGTTATACGCGGGTTTCACGAAACGATTGTATTGCTCGAGTATATCCTTCAAGTCACGGCCGCGCTCCGCAATATCACGTCTAAGTCGACGCGCCAAGCGCTCATCGGCATCGGTGTCCACGAAGACTTTCAAGTCCATTAACTGATAAAAATAATAAAATTGTTAGTCGAATAAAATATAAGGTGTAAAATGAGCACATATAAAGCCATAGCTCAAAATAATAAGACAACTAAGAAATTAAATTCAGTGGATCAAGAAAAATAAAAAAATACTAAGTTACGAAGACCTATTTGTAAGAAAATCGATGCGTCCTTGCGATAACAATAAGCATTTCTGAGCTAGCCCTTCTTTTAATAAAAGGTATAAAGACCAAGATGGTGTGGCCTTTTGCATGATCACATTCTCATTTCGTTGTATAGAGGTTGTTTGACCTTGTTTTCGCAACTTGGTCATGTTGGTAGGAAGACTTAGAGGAACGCACCTTGTCTGGAGGCCATTGTCTGCATAATCAGGGGTCGAGTGAAATATGTGAACCAGAGAGAGGGCAGACGGATCTTACGGGGCAAGAGATAGACTGTGGTAAGACCTAGGGAAGGAGGACTACGTAACAATATGGCAGACTGCGATCAACATTCCCAGCAAAAGGATGAAGGGCGAT